GCTGGGGAAAACCTTGTCAGTGGGACGAATTGGGGGGGGGGGGGAAGAGCTCCCGTGCATTTCCCCCAGGACTAGCGAAAGCAAAACGGGAAAGGGGGGGGGGAACAAATGTACGCAAATGAGTTTCATCTACACAAGTCAGTTCTTTTGTGCAGTATGTTTCGAACATATATGATACAAACATCCACATATGCAGTGTGCACGCATTCACACAAAGTTTACAAAAACTGACAGTGGTTCACTGGGGGAGGGGGAATGTGGAACCCAGATGCAGCAAAGCTACAAAGCAGACACGGAACAGAACAGACGACATTCATCCTGTGTTAAACTCTTCTTCAGCACGCCCCTGCCTTTGGAAGCAAAGGTGGGTGGCTACTTTTGTTGTTGTTCAGCCGCACAGTCGAGTCTGACTCTTCGTTGACCATGTCAAGCTTACCTTGATTCATAGATCTTACATTCCAGGTTCCTATGTAGTATTGTTCTTTGCAGCATCGGACTTTCCTTTCACCATCAGACACATCCACAACTGAGGGTCCTTTCGGCTTTGGCCCAGCCGCTTCACTCTTTCTGGGGTTACTTGTACTTGTCCTCTGCTCTTCCTCAGTAGCATATTGGACACCTTCCGACCTGAGGGGCTCATCTTCCGGCGTCATATCTTTTAGCCTTTTGATACTGTCCATGGGGTTTTCTTGGCAAAAATACTGGAGTGGGTTGCCATTTCCTTCTCCAGGGGATCATGCTTGGCATAGCCCACAGCCCCATCGAACCACGCAAGCCCCCTCGCCACGTCAAGGCAGTGATCCATGAGGGAGGGGTGGCTACTAGAGACATGATAAAACAGAAATCCAGGGGCACCTTAAGGACTAACGACATTTATTACAGCATGCACTTTTGTGAGTCAGAGCTGACTTCTTCAGATGGCACAGCAAGCTCCGACTCATGAAAGCTCATGCAGGAATAAATGATACTAAGTCTTTAAGGTGCCACTGGACTTCTGTTTCATTTCTGGTAAAAGAACGGCAACCCCCCTGGAATGACAAGAGGCATGCCGCCTGTGGTGGCACCTTGCCCAGGGAACTTCCTCCCCACAGCTATTCGCCTGGAACCTGTGTTGCCCATCTTCAGGCACAGGGTAAAAAATTATGTTTCTCCCAGGCTTTTAGTGGGTAAACTCTGGATTGCTATGCCACTGTTTCTGCTCATTTTAACTAAGCGGTAGCCTGTTTTGTATCCGGGTTTTCGTTCTGTTTTTGCTCGTAAACTGCTGTGAGCAGCCTTCTGGTTAATAGGTACAGTATAAATATTTTAAATAAACTGGCTTTTTAATTCCATTTTGGGCAGCCAACCCCCCCCCCCCTCCCCGGCTTCTCTGCCAGGTTTTCCCCAACCGTATTGTTTAGAGAGGCTTTCCCAGCTAATCTAGCCTAGCTAGACTCCTCTGCTCATCCCAAACCAATGGTAAAGGTTTGATCTGGTAAACTGGTACACAGCAACCTCTGCCATCTGACCTAGAAGCCGGACTTCTTCCTAACAGCGGAAGGGTTCTTCCATTTCACTCATCGAGCTCTATTTTGGTTAGCGACTCACTAAGAACCCGGGGAGCCCAATACGACCGGGGGTGGCAGGAGAGGAAGCCCGGCTACGGTGTCACCAAAACGTCACGGAACAGGCAGCCAACACAGGTTTGCAAGCCCCCACCACTGCCTCCAGGCGGCCAGGGAGGAAAACGTTTCCGAGCGGTGCATTTTTCCAGTCACAATCACACAGGGGCAGGTTTGACTAGTGAAAATTATTGGTGGACTCATTTGAACAGCTGTGGGCGAGGGAATCACTGCTTGTAGGACTGATTTAACAGTGCAGAAAGCTTCAGAGCAGACTACAGTACAAACAGCTCGGCTTACTCTTAGGCCCCTCAGGGGTACGGCAGAGCCTGCTTCCCCACCCATCTTCACTGCTGGGAGAAGACAGGTGGCTGCAAGGCTGCTCTATCGGTCAGAGGCAGGCAACACTTGGACAGCATTTAAGAGTTAGGCAACTGTGAGGAGCATTAAGGATGTCTCTTGACAGCTTCCTTTGTTTACATCAAAATCATTCTGCATCACAGACACCTGCGGTACTCAGGCCTGTGGGCCAGTTTCTAGTCCCCATGTGAAAAGTTCCTGGAGGTTAAATGGAGACTGACCCTCGGGCAGAGAAAGGAAGACACCATTACCTTGGATATCTGAAGGGACCTGGTAAGAAGGGTGGTAGTCAGGAATCGGGAGGCTGGATAGGTAGTCGCTGCCGACAGCTGCCATTGGGGGGCTCCGCAGGACTGAGGATGGTTGGTGATCGGTACTTAAAACCCTGTAACGAAAGGTTGGGATCATCAGACCCACGCAAGGTCATTTAGGCTGCTTCCACACAAAGGTTTTGCTTGGTTTGGCGCCTAAACTGGAGCAAGTTTGGGGGTGACATCTGCACAGCATCTTTACCTAATCATCCACTTCTTGTGTCTTCCCCCATTTTGCTGCAGTCAAACCTTGTGTGGGATAATATTTTGGGGAAACTGCAGTCTAAAGTGCCTTTGCGCGTAGCTAAAAATGGAAGGCCCGAACAAAGTGGTTTCCCCTACCCCTTGGGTCCCGCTGCAGACGGAATGGCTGCCGTGGTGACAGGGCACTGCTTTTTCACGGGGGGCTCCTCGTCCTCTGAAGAACTGTCTAGCGTCAGGTCAATGACCTCCACTTTCTTCTTGCTTTCAGCCAGCTGCTTCCCATCAGGGCCCACCATGTACAAGGAATTTGCTGCCAAGAGAGGGAAGGTTGGAGGGAGATCAGGGCAGGATTCAGACAAGACAAGAGGGCACACCTTTCAATGCGCACGAGAGCTCAAGGGTGCTAACCTTGAAAGGTAACAACAGGAGGTCTGGACAGCAGAAAGTGCTCCCTTCACATAATGCATAACTGGCGTGGGGAATTCAGTGCCACAGGATGACTTTGAAAGAGGGTTACACAAATTCAGGGAGGAGGAGAAGCCCATTGATGGCTATTAGCCATGAGAGTGAAAGAAGAACCTCCAAGTTCAGGAGCAGTCTACTTCTCAATACCAGACAGTGGAGAGGTAAACAGAAAAGGGCTGTTGGCTTTCACACTCCACATGTGGGGGCTTCCCAGGGTATTTGTTCATGTGTGTGGGGAAGTGGCATGGACCAGTGTTGGAAAACACACACTGGATTCCCAGCCTGGCTTAGCAAGACAATTCTTGCACCCTTATTAACCACGTAAATGGACCTTGCATCTGTCCCCTCACTGCTGGAAACAAGCTGCAACACCAAATGGACGTTATGACTGATCCAGAAGGCCTCTTCCCATGTTCTTTGCCTTCCCTCAATAGCCAAAAGGTACCTCAGCTCCATTAGGCAGCTTGTAATGTCCAATTTACAAAATGTATTGCCTTTCTGCCCTTAACAACCGTGCAGTAACTTAAGACTTTAAAAAACACCAATATCCTACACCTATTTAATACATATGTATATCTTCTTCTTTCCTTCAGGGAGCTCAGGGAAACACACATGGGTTTTACCTTCCCCACCTGATCCTCACAACAACCCTGTGAGGTAGGTTGGGCTGTTAGAAAACAACTAGCTCAAGGTCACCCAGTAAGCTTCAGGACCAAGTGGGGATTTGAAGCTGGCTTTTGAAAACCCTAGCCCCACAGCCTAACCACGACGCCACACTAGCTCTCCCTAAATGAACACTTTTTATCTGGCAATGCGTGTTTGCACTGATCAGCACTGTGGAGAAATGCCAGACACAAGAGTGGCAAATACCAGTGCCAGACATTACATCACCAGCTGGAACATGGCAAGGATATAGTTTTGATCAGGTCTCAGGCAGCAGGTAATGAGAATGGATGTTTATATGACTGAAACTCGGGGGAGTAGTTATCCCGAGGAGATTGCAGTGAGCTAAATTCATACGTAATTAGAGTCCCCCGAAACTGGGTGTGCACATCCACACAACGCACACTGGGTTTCAAGCTGGTATGGAAGAAATCTAACCATTTTGATATCCCTAACATACATCACCAAAAGTGTTCATAATTATTCTAGGTGATAACCTCACTTCACTTTGTCCTTGGAGAACAAGAAGGAAATCGGTTTTTGAACAAGCAGACAAAAAAAACCCCACCAAAAACATCTTCATATGATACAGATATCAAAAAGGGTAAGTGCACAGGGCAGAAAGAATTCCCTGCCCCCAGCCTCAATCTCCTGCCCTTGAGAAACTGAAGAAAATCTGGAGAAAAAAATGTCCCCCTTAGTGGTCTTTACCACAGAGATTAGGGGAAATTCCTAGAGTATCTCCCAGAAATCCTCCCCAGACACTGCCCCACCAATTTCACAGCATCTCCTGCCCTAGGCAATACTGACCACCCAATAGGCTTATGCCCCAAACCAAGCTTTTGTTATTCTCATCTTCCTCCTCAAAGACCCACCCCTACTCAGAAATGCTTTTCCTACCCCATCCTGGCCGCACCTTATTTGTAGCTCCTGGGCCCCCCATCCTGCTTGCGCCTGATCTTACTTTTCACGCTGAGTTCTCTCGTGGTTTGTATGCCAAACAGCACTGATTTCTTTCTGACCTTCCTCGCATCGTTTTCCATTCGCTGCCTCTCCATATTTTCCTCATTGGTTCTTCACGCTTTCTCAGACCACCATGTGATTTGAGAAAGCCTGTAGAAATGACAAGAAACCCACAGAAGGGTAACGAATGGGAAAATGAGGATGCAAGGAAGTTCTGAGAGAAAACGTTGCAAGTCGCCATCCAACCCAAGGGAAAACCTCTTTGTGAAGAAAATTTGATGTACTTTGGGAATTCTCTAGGGAAGGACGGCACCCCGGCCACAGTTCTTTCCAGCGCCAAGTGCTCCACTGGTGATATTGTTGTAATGTTCCTATTCAAAGAGGAGCGGCTGCCAATCACTCACACAAAACGCGGCCCTCATTTCTCTTACCTTCCACCCCACTGTAAGCCGATGGCTGGCAAACCTCCTGGTTTTCTTTCTTGGGCTTCATGGGGCACCAGGAGCCGTCTTCCATGAACTGGATCTCATCGCAGTCTGTGACCGAGTTGAGGATTTCCATGAACAAACTGGATGAAACAGAACAAAACAGAAATCACCTGAAACTGGGAAAGCTCCCTAAAGAGGTGCTTGGGAAATTTGGTGGGGAAGGAGGAGGGGGCAGGTGATGGCAGGAGGTGTTCTTCTTTAGAACATTCCTGCATTCAAGGAGCCCTTTCCCCCATTCTACTTTGCCTGCCAAGAAACCCTCACCTATTTGTGGCAAAGAACTCTTGAGATACGATCGAGTCACAAACAGCACCAGCCTGGCCCTCTGAGCCTCACTTTGTTCACTGCTACCATTGCTACTTTGCTTTACTTAAAACTTCCTTTAAAAAAACAACAACTCTAGGCCCACAAATCAAATTGCCATTTGTGATTCAATAAATTATGGGAAATATGCATATGGATACATGGAGCTGCCTTAGACTGAGTCGGACCACTGGCTGAAGTCTTTCCCATCACCTGCTTCCTGGTCCTTTTGGCAGAAAAGGCTGGGGAAAAGCACCTGGGACCTTCTGCATGCAAAGCAGACACTCTACCGCTGAGTCACAGCCCCTCCCCACTACGACCAAATATTCACTTCCTGTGCATAATTCCTTCTGTTTCCAAAAGTCACAGTGCTGGGCACGGGGGCTCCATTCCCAGATCAGTGGAATCTTGTTCACTGTCCCACGGACGTGTGGGCAGCCTGTTACAGCTGAAGCCGCAGACTGTTCCAAGACCAGTTCTGTGCAAGTCCAGGTCTCGTTGTGAGTGAAAGCACAGAGATGGCAATCGCCAAAGGCATTCGTTCAATTTGCATCATTTATTCAGGCAGTGCTTCTCCTGGTGCCTCTTTATGGCACGGAGACAACGCTAAAGCCGACAGCCTCCCTAAGGCAGAGAGTACGGTGGGACTGCAAAGGCCTGGCCTACATCGGGGTTACCCGTCAATGATCAGGGCTTCGTAGGGGGCCTTCTTGTCACAAACGGGGCAGGTCCACGTTGGCTTCTTCTCGTTCATCTGAAGGTAAAGGGCTGCGTCAAAGCACTGGAGGTGAGTGCAGGTGTAGGCTCGACAAGGGACAGTCAGCTTCATCTTGCCCAGCTGGAAGGAAGGAAAGAATGGATGAGTTGGCTAGAAATGGTTCAAACCCCCACGCTTTTTGCCTGTTATTGCCAAGTTCCTGAAACAAAAGCCCTGTCATTCTATCTAGGAGGACTCACAACGAGTCTTAGGACAAACGGAAAATCTCCTATAAAACAAGGTAAATCAAATGCCTTCATCCCTTCGTGCTCAACCAATGTAACACTTGAGAGCAGAGACCCCTCCTCAACCCACGCTGCAGTTTAAATCTCCCCTCCTCATCCACCACTTGATAGGAACCCAGTGGTAACCCACCTGGTAGGCAGCTCTGGGTGCCATTATGTCTAATAGGGCCCTTAGGAGGCAAGCCCTTGGAAGCAGGGACCCGCCCTTGCTGCTTACGTTAACAGCGCAAACCACCGAGTGAAGTTTACTGCCCGACCAAGAAGTAAGGAGAGTGTTCAGCCCTGAGTCTTGTCTCACTTTTGGGACTTGCAGCAAGAACTAGGGCAGCTCTTCCTAGCTTTTTTTTGCTATGCAGAGTACAGGCTCCATCCCCCCCAAAATTAAAGCTGCAGATACAGGCATCCATCACTACCAACATTCCTTACAATTGAAAGACAGTACTATTGAGAGGAGCCCCACCCCACTTTTTGCCTAGCTAGAAGAGCTCAGACATGGGATCGCATTCTCTGGGCAACAGAGACGTTTCTAGGCTCACCCCCTGGTACAGGTTGCATCGGAGACTCCTGGGGGACCCTTCCTACCTACAGTGATAAACACACACACACACACACACACACACACATACAAGCTGCATGGCCTTTGCAAGTGCAAAAGAGCCCAGTGAATGCTGGAGCCTGGGATCCATGATGGGACTGTGCTTTCTGGGCAATGGGGCTGCTTCTCCATCTGATGTCTTGCCTCTCAGCTATCACACGGGCTGTATAAGGGACTCCTGGCAAGTCCTCTTTCCCCAGCCAGGCAAGGGTCAGAGACAGAATCAGATTTTCTGGGCAATGGAGACACTTCTGGAATTGCGCTATGCTTGTGTGTTGCAATCATGGCTTGCACCAAGGAGACCATGG